AAATAAAATAAAAAAATATATATCAAAGAAGAAAACTGGGTTTACATTGAGCTTACAGAATCAATAACGGTGCTCTGTTTTCTATTCCTCTTTTCTATCTTTCGTTTTGCACTGTCATATATGTCATTGATGCTTATCCTTAAGCATCTAAACTCTTCAAAACCATACGTTTCGCATTGTTTGAGGAGTTGTTTTAGGAAAAAAGGTTTTTAAATCAAGTTACGAGCAGGAAAATACTAGTTCAGATTAGCCAGCAACACGTGCAGATCTTTATGACAGTTGGTTATTTTATAAATAGAAGAACGGTTGACATGTGAACGGTGTTTACCACAGGCAAAAAATTATAGAGAGAGAAATTGTGGGAACAGTTCTACCCAGAAATTTTGCATGGAAAGATTGTGTCCGTTTTAAGCAATATATATATATATATATATATTTATGTATAAGTTAACTCACTTCGGTCCCACAACCGGTTAAACTTAAATTCCATAATGAGTTAACCAACGCAGGTCAAAGCTCGCGCAGGCAATTCAACATATATTGCAGACGTTTTTGTACTGTTTTATTAGTAGACTATGTAAGAATATTTTATTAGAACTAAATGGTTAGTTATTTTATGTCGGTACAATAAGTTCCAGTTCAGTTCCAGCCAAGTCCAGTGCAGTGAAGTTTGAAATCCTTTTCAATAAAAATTATTTAAAATAAATTTTCGTATTAAAAGGTGAATTGAGCCCCATGGGCGGCCCAACAAATATATTTTTTTGAAGCAAAGAAATTCGTTCACCCAACAAAGAACTTCGTGTTCATATTGAACCATTTTTGCGCAACCCAGCGAATCATCTGCTGTTGAAAAAATAAAAATTTTTTAAAAGCAAGGTTATAATGTCTTCCGATATTACAATATAATTAAGGGTTTAGCCTCTTTGCGCCCACATTAATAACAAATCAGAGAAGATCACAGAAATTTCTAATTACGGATTATATAAAGAGTATGGACAACTTGACTGAAGAGACTTCTCTAATTACAGATTATATAAAGAGTATAGATAACTTGACTGGAGTTTCCATCCCACTTTCCATGAAATGTACAAATGGTTAGACTTAATTATTAGAAAATTGCCCAACATAGTTATCGTCTTTAACATCGGCTGTTCGTATGGATAACATCAGCTGCCTGCACTTCTTTAACTTTTGAATTATGCTTTTTCAGAGATGACCAAGCCGAGAGACTCATCTCTTCACATGAAGAGGTAGTCAAGTCATTATTTATGAACAGAAAAAATGCAATTATTTTTACGGTCTATAGGAACGCTCAAAAGAACGAACGATTCCATAAATGTCGATTTTTTGTTGGAATTTTGAATATGTATCGGAAGGTAAGCAATTTATTGTTAGATTTTTATTGAAAGATTTTTGAAATAACAAAAACTATTAAAGGAGTAAAACATGAACCTTGCTCAAACCAACATGGTGGCGATTATCCTCTGTCTGGATCAGAAGTTGAGCAGTAAAAAAAAAATTTATTATAAGCAATATTTCATGAGGTTTCGTTAATATCTATGCACAAAACATTCGGTCGCACAAGCCTTTTACCTTATACACATAGTAAAGAACTGCACTGCACCTAGGTTGTGAACGACTGATGTGTGACATGTCGCTAAAACTTTCGTTGAAGCGTTTCTGCACTAAACATAGATATTGAACCGGGACAAACATTTGCAGTACAATAAATAGTTTCTTCGTTGATGTTATCAAAATATCAATTTCGGTGCTTTCGTAAGACTGCGAAGAATATTGTGGAACAAGCAAAGATTGGGTTGACGCGATGAAAACTTTATCAATACCTTTCACGATTCAGTTACCAGGCAAAGATAGGGGATCACCTTTTAGCTACCAAAATGAGCGCTTTTACACGAAGACTTGAAACTTTGGATGGCACTATTAACGCACTCGAAATAATTTAAAGGGACGTTTAAAAGAAGCAAAGGGATGGATGCTTTGCCAATTCGTATTAACTTAAACTCGGAATTCAATCAGAAAATGGGAAAAAGTTACAATCGGCCTCAACTTTCTGACTAGTTCTGGTTCTTCTTCTTTTTTTTTTTTTCTTTAGGTTTATTAAAAATTTTTGGGGTGAGCCTTCTCTAGCTGGTCTATATCTCTAATAGCAATGCTAAGAATTTTTTCCATACTTTGAATTATTTGATTTTGAATTTATTTTTTCTTAAATTTTTGATTCTATTGACTGACTATTTGGTTATTTGAATTCTTGTTGGTGATAAAAAAAAAATCTTTTTCTAGTTGTGTTACATGCTGAAGTTGGTTGTGTTTTCGACGACGACAGCATAAAAACCGATTGCTTTGCTTCAAATTGCATACACCTTTCATTTTTTATTTATTCTATTGTATATGTAAAATTTTCTTCAGTTTTTATTTGCCGTTCATTTGTAAGGGTTGACAGTTTTGTTTTCATTTACAATTCGCTTGACTGATTTTTGTACATAAATATTTTTTATAAAAAATGAAAATTTCCTAAAAGCTAACCTACATTAACCTCTGAATCAAATTATGCTGTATATTTTTACAATTTAATTAATTAAAAAAAAAAGAGCATGGGTGGACCTAAAAATATACATACAATTAACTACAACTAAGCTAAGGGCTGCAAGGCAAACAACACAAAGATCATCAATTTTATTGTACGAATACATATTGAAAAATTTATAAATAAAAAGTCAAATAAATTTTTACTATTCAGACGCAACATGTTCCGTAAAAAAAATACTACTTATGGAGCTCTTGACTGATTTCTCGATGTCACGTCATGTGAAATCTATGTTCGGATGGGTGCCATTACCAAATTCGACATTGGATGTTCTTACGAAGGACGTTTAATGAGAGAACTGAAACTTTTTTTTAGAACGGGCAAAACTATTCATGCCAGAGAGTGGGTCACGTCAGATCCTTGCACGTATTTAATAAGAGAATTGGCGTTTTCTAGAGTTGCTGACGAACGTGGGCGGGAGTCTTCACTCACGGTGATTAATGTTGATGGTTTTGTCTACTCGCTTGAAGAGGTAAGGAAGTCGTTATTATGCTAACTATATTCGCTATGTTAGCTATGTCGCTAAGTTAGATATGGCGCTATTTGTTGCATATTTACCTATGCCTTGCAGATCAACCTACATCCGTTTATCGAAAGATTACCAAGTTTTGTTTATTAAGCTTGATTTAAAACTTTGTTCTTGTTGCTTTCGTCGATCCGCACGTAACCGTTCCTTTTGTCTTAAAATTACAAAAAGAATCTTAAATCCACATTTAACAAAATATCAATTCTTGGGTCGGAAACGAAAAAGGTCAAGCTTGCCACAGTTTTGTGAGGTTATATGTAGAGCGGTTGGTCGCTTGATTACATAAAAAATTATTGTAACAAATGTTTATGCGACTTATGATATATAAGTTGTAGCAGACATGAGGGAGAGCAAATCCGCGTTTTATTAACTTGCTATTTAAAAACAACGTCGTTTTTGCGTACAACGTCCATTTTCTATTTCCTAACTGAACACAGTAGCGTTTATGGCCCAAATCAAGCATCATGATTTCACTTATAAATGAAAATCGAAGGATTCTAATATATTTGACTTTTAATACTTTAAACTCCTTTTTTTATTAAGGTGAGGCAGTGTAAAGACCCTTGCTCAATTGTCTACAGTGGCGCTCATGCTGGATCTGAACGAGAAGTTAAAGAACTCAAAAATTTCATAAATAATAAGATACCAGACGGATCCATTAAAGTTTACATAGTCCCATATGCAATCGCACAAGCAGCACCAACGCCCCTGGTCCAATACCAGAGTACCGCCCAAACACTTTAATATGTGCTAATCCCATTTTGTGATGAAAATAAAAATAAATTATAGAAGAAAATTACAACACTTAGCATATTCTAAATCTTGTGGGTTGACACAGAAGATGAGTGCATACACCTAAGACTTTTTTTAGTCGAGTTTTTTAACGTGAAATTTGATTTAACACGAATTGAAAAGAAAACAAATTTTATTTTTACACGAATTGCTTTGTTATAGCACGATTTGCAACATTCCATATATTTTTCTTATGAATTGTTTTGATGAATTTTTCAATTCAATTTTTTTTCATGTTTCTATCAATTTTCCATTCTCACTCGCCGCACCTATACACTTGTAACTTTGCCGTATATTTTTCGCGATTCAGTTGGATTATGTTGATTAGATACGTATATAAGTGGGATTTTCCCGAATTATGCCTAAAGATATAATGAATCTTTTCGACAATTTAGTTTGGTTTATCAAGGTATAATTCTTTTTCAGTAATATACTTAATGAATTAAATCGTGTAAACACGAAATACTTTCTTAAGTAAAGAAGTTTTTAGTATTGTTTGTGGCATTTTTCAGTTGCTTTTTTATGCCTGCAACCGATCTACTGTTTTTCCATTTAGCCAATATCTTTTACAAGCGACTATTTTGGGTACATATCTACCGTGTAAAAAGAGAATCAGGTGTCTTTTCACGAATATACGGGACGATAATAATAGAAAGTCGAGCACATGCTGTACATATATTCTCCCTTTCTCATTCGTTCGTGTACGGTATGATATGCGCTGCAAAAAATTGTATTATAAATTCCTCTTTTTTTACAACTATGTATAGGGATTGAACTTATTTATATTCCGTCGACATCTTTTTCTAGCAAATTTTGTACTTCTCTGTTTTTGTAATTATATGATAAAGAAAGCACAGCCTGTCTGCTTTCAAAAATGTACACTCTATCTAATTTACCCTGTAACTTAATCCACTTAATCTGTCCACATTCGAAAAAAGAATTTGCGAACTTTTTCTTAAAAAACAACTTTGTGGTATAAATTCCAACAAACTTCCAATGCACCGGACCTCCGTGCTTTATTATAAAATAATGTTTACGCCCAATGTTCATGTTCAAATGAAAACAATGGAAGAGAAGAAAACGGTAATCACTCAGTTTCACTGAGGTAAAAGACGTTCGCAGATCAAATTTATTTATTCGACGCCCGAGATGTAGTTTTTTCATACATTTCAGTGCCTCAGTGCGTTCTCTCCAAGCTTTCAACTCTTACTTTATAGGGCCAAGATTCGTCACACACACATTCACAAACGGCAAAAAAGATCAACATATCATCAAGATGGAGAATATGGACACGGCTAGCAACTGAACTTAGAAATAGACGACATAGGACATATAAGAAAGGATATAAAATCCATACATCGAGCGAATCGATCTGCGGTTTACATTGCAACCGCATGTAATTCTCTCTGTTCCATAACGAAATTTCCTTCGTTTTCTTGTATTAAATTTTCCTATGACCCTCACAATTTAAATATAAAAACCGGTTAGTGAAGCCTTATCTTTAAATAAAAAAAAGTCCTATTTTATACTTTTTCAATTTTGAAGGCAGTGAAACAAAACAAGTGAAAATCAAAGAAAGCCTTCCATTTGGCACTTAGATTTCTTGTAATCAACCACTTATACTGTATTGAGTACAATACGCTCTGAGTTGAACGCTCTTGCAGGTAATAGCCCGGATTTTTTAACTTAAACCACTAACTTTTCTCTTTGTCTTTTTTACAACGACATCTCCTTGGACTACAATTAAAATAGAAGACAGTTAGGGTCCCATAAAGTTGAAGTGTAATATTTTGGTTCATTTCGAATTTTTTTCCAAATTCGGACGTGATATCTATAAACAAGAACAAATAGAAAAATTAGAAAAAATATGAAACTACGCGCATGCATTACGTTTTAAATAAAAGAAACGCTGCGTAGTTACAATCGTTTGAAAAAAATCGCCCACGATTTAGTGAAATGGAATCCAAGGGAATAATCGCAGGGACTTTTGAAAATGAACTGCAACGAGCAAAGGATTGTAAGCCCGGTGGCGATATAATGCCAAAAAAAGAAAAACGATTACTTTTCGCGTGAATATCCGCCGAACCAATGAGGTTTTTTTTTATATTTTTAAAGGCGTCAATTTCTTCTAGATAGACGAAGCCTCTTTCCAAAAAAGTTACCGACTTATCGAATTCTTGACTGGTCTTTTTACCCCACTTTGTGTGAAATATATATGTGGATGGATAGCATTATCAAAAATTCCGCCCGTGTAGTGACGGGTTTCGACATAGGTCGTTCGTATGAAGGCCGTTTAATTCGCGGTCTTAGACTTTCTTTCAAGCCCGGTAGAAAAACGATTTTCATTGAGTCAAATATTCATGCTAGAGAATGGATAACATCAGCTGCCTGTACATACTTAATCATGGAACTATTGTATTCCAGGGATCCTGATGTGCGCGAGTTGGCAGAAAGTGTTGATTGGTGGATAATACCTGTATTAAATGTTGATGGCTTTGTTTATTCACATGAGAAGGTAACCAAAGCATTTACTATTTTCACTTACGAACAAATTGTATGCATTCGTTTACCTTTATTGGATGTAGGAACGATTGTGGCGCAAATCAAGAAGACCTGCTGATCCCCATTGTATGGGCATCGATTTAAATCGTAATTTTAATTATAAATGGTCACGTAAGATCTTTTCCACTTCAATCTTTGATGTCATTTTTCAAAATAACGGAGATTATTGTAGTTAGACGATGTGCAGATCCTTGCTCAAACGTGTATAGTGGGCCTTATCCTGAGTCGGAGCCAGAAGTTCAACAGCTTGTAGAATTTATTAATAATAACATACCAGAGGGTTCTATTAAGATTTATGTAGCATTACATTCGGCCGCGCAAGCAGTACTTGTACCGTGGACCCATACGAAAGTACCACCTCAAAGTTATGCAACATTGATGTATGTGGCTAAAGCTTTTGTTGAGGCTTTGTATCCGCGGTATCACACCAAATATCGCTGTGGAAGCAGTGCCAATATTCTCAGTGAGCTAAGTGATTTAAATTATGTAATTAGACTTCAAAAATTTTATTGAAAATTTAGAAATGTTTACTGGGGGCAGCAAAGATTGGGCTTACGCGGTGAAGCATGTGCCAATAGCTTTCACGATCGAATTACCTGGCAGAGGTACCCCAAAGCGTTTTGAATTGCCTGAGACCACGATTACACATGTAGGCGCAGAGCTTTTGGATGGATTTAGAGGAATGATAAAAGCTGTCAAATTGCTTGGTTACATTTAAATCGCGAAATAAGCAGGAAAAAAGTGCACTCAAGTTCGAAGCAGTCTAATTGTGAATCAAAATTCAGTAAAGGTGAAAGTACGCCAAATAAGAAAAGTAAGTTATTACTACTTTTACGCGCAAATACAAGTTTTTACAGCTTTCACTTTTCATCGACTTTTCGATGCATAGGTGGCACTTTTTATACCCTACGCCACCTATGGTATGAGATATATTAAGTTTTTGTAAGATAGACCCACCTTTTATTATACCGAAGCTTGTTTGTCCATGTATTTTCGTGTTCGACTTACACGTCTCAATTTCTGAGATATTTCGATAAATTTTTTTACACTGACAGGCGGTGACTCAAAATGGTTCGGTTTTTCGACAAATCCACACATACCGCGTTATTTTGAACAGTTGTTATATGGTAAAAAATTGGCACTTTTCAAATCTTTTCAATAAATGACGAAATGAATAAAAAATTCGGTTCGGTTGGGGAAATTTTTTCGAGCCCCCTCCCATATAACCATGTATTCGAAAACTGCATCTTTATGTGATAAAAAGTTCTAACGTTGAATATTTCATGGTGAAAATTATTTCATAGTAGCAAATTGACAAAGCAGTGGATCAGCGAACCTGCACTACATGGGTCTATTTTTTTGGATGCCATGCGCATACCAGAATTCTCAGGAAACGTAAACCTTTACGTGTCAAAAAAGGTAAGTTGTTAATGTTTTATGATGGCAATTTTTCGGTAATGGTAATTTGACGTAACGAATAAGTGGACTAAATTTGGACCACACGGGTCTACATCTTGGAATTCATGAACAGTAAGCGAGAGCTCCAATTTTTAGTATTTTATGATGAAAATTGGTCCGTAGCTATCAATTTAGTACAAAAATTAAGTGAATTTTGTTCACAAAGGTCTATTTTTTAGACGGTAACTTATATGGGGGTTATAATGAAAAGCGAGTCTTTATGTGGAGACAAAGCCTAATTTTTAGTCTTTTATAACGGAAGCTGGAAAATAATAAAATTTTGGAAAAGAAATCAAG